TACCAGTTTCGGGTCGCGCTGCTGGGGGACGCGGGGGCCGGCGCCAGGCTGCTCAGGCCGCCCGCCCCGGGCCCCTGGCTTTGAGGAGGGGCCGTGACCCAAAGTTGCAGGCCGGTTTTCTTTTTTCAGTGTTTGGTTTGTAAGTACATTTTGCTGAGCCGGGAAGCAGGAGGGGCTGGTGCAGGCTTGGAGCGGGCGCCCCGGAGCCGGAGTGCGTCTGGCGGGGCTCGCCCAGCGCCCACGGCAGGGCCTCGCCGCCCAGGTCCAGCCAGACGCCTCCTCTCACTTCCTGACCTCGCTGCAATCTGCTTCTGGATTCTTTCCTGTCACTTGTTTTTGAACGTTTATTTACACACAAAAGAACTGGGGTGAGAGGACCCCCAGAGACAGTGGGGAGCAGAACAGGCGATCCCCTGAAACCCGCTGCTGAGGGGTCTGCTGCGCCCGCGGCCCTGCCGGGGTGGACTGCAGCGGCCCCAGCGTGCTCGGCTCCCCCCTCGCTGAAGGGCGTGAGGCCCGGCGACCTGGGGCGCGTGGGTCTGTCCACTGGGCTCCGTCCAGCCCCTTCCACTGCCGACCTGCAGGCCAGTGCCCGCCGGGCTGCCCACTGCCGCCTCTGGTGAGTGGGCGCACGCGGCCTGGTTCCGGCCGGCTAGGTCCTGCCGTGTCCAGGTGCGGCTCTGACTTGCCCTGGGATCCGCTTGGAGGCGGCGGCTGGGCTGGCCCCTCCCTGCTGGCTCTGGTCTCCAGGGCAGGACGCGGTGACGGAGGCGGGAGTGCCCCCGGCCGGGCGTCTGGTCCACTCGGAGCTTCTTCGCGTCAGCGCTGGGCGCCGTCCACTGTCCAGGCAGCCCCTCCCTCGCGCTCCCCCGAGGCGCCCCACCCTGGCCCGCCCCCAGCCTGCTCCTCCTGGAGGTGGCACCGGCCTCGGGGCCCGCGAGAGCAGCCTGGGGACTCTGTGCCCTCGCCCTTCCGGGCCACTCTGCCCTGTGCCCTGGGCTCAGAGGGCCTGGCCTTCTGCCTGCTCCCCGGCCGCCTGGGCCTGACCTTCCCGCAGGCTCCGGGGACCCCGCGGCGGCAGCCCTGGGGGCCATCATCCGCCCATCCTACCTGGGTTCTCGCAGCGCATTGCCTGCTGGCAGCCCCCCGGGGAGCCCCGTCCCCTGGGCAGAGGCTGGGTTCTGGCCAGCCTGCCCCCCCCCACCGCCTGCCACGTGGGGGGCCGGCTCCTGCCGGGAGGGAGGGGTGAGGGAGGCCTGGGGCGCGGCCAGCGAGGCGGCAGGGCCTGCGGGTCTGGTCTGCTGGGGCGCGG